GTCCCCCCAGTTCTTTGCATGTAATGGTACAGTCCATTGTTTCTTGAGCAGCACAGTGCAAGTCAGCACCAATAAGGTTGCAGTGGAGGGGGGGGGTCCTAAAGACACGCAACTCAATAATGCAATACTCTTATGCCATCTGCTGTGTTTATGACTACAAATCAAAATGGATTGAAAAGGTCAAATTAGTTACACATTTAGTATAATTAAGGGTTGAGAATTCAGCTGGAAAACAACCAGCACACACAATACAAAAAACTCTGAAAATGCTGCCCTAGGTATCATTTTGATTGGCTGTATGGCTCATCTTTCTGCAGCAGTGAACAGGAAAAGGCGGGACAAAGATTCCAGAGGTATGCTGGGAATTGTAGTTCCATCAGTGAAACTCCCCTGCCCTGATCCCCCTCATCTTCCATTATTATTTTTGCATTATAGTCAATGAACTGCCATGAAAGACAGGAAACAGATGGCCCTTACTTTAGTTTCATGTCTGAAACATTTTGTACTGAGTATTTAAACCGTTATATTGATTTTATTTTATTTTATATTTGTCCTTTTATCTACATGCAGATAGGACTCCCTCTGTCTGTAATTTATAATTGTCTCTAATTAAAGGGTTTATAACAATCCACAGCTTGGGTTTGTTTGTTTTAGAGGGCCGACAGACAGCGGACATGCCCTTTCCTTTATCCAGGCACTGGATGATGGCTAGCGAGCTCGGTCCCTGTGTGGGGAGCCTGCTGGACAAGCTCTGTTCTGTGGGTGAGGTTTGTCTCCTCTGCTGCTCAGTGTTTGCGCTGCGTGTGCTCTGCAGAGGGCGCTACGGTCCCCCGCCTCCTGGAGGCGCTTGCTCGGCGCCCCCCTGCTCATTCTGTGCGAGGCCGGCCCCAGTAACAGGAGCGAAATCCTTCTTTACCGCGCGTTTCGTCTGGATTATGCAAAGGCACACCAGCTTCAGGGTGGCATTGCCTGTCTTCCTGGTTCAGGGATAGTTATCCTAACAGCTGTAATAAGTAGTCTGCTTGCGCCTTGATAAAAACGAGCCGTGCTGAACAGCGCCTCCTGTAGGTCGGGATAGGCTCTCGCGCTTGCCTCCGGGCTCCTGGAGGGGAACGCCTTGGGTCCGATCGCGAGGCTCGTCAAACTGATGCGTTTCATCGCAGCCCGGCCTCGTGGCACCAGGACAGCTTGAGACTGGAGAGGACTCTGAACTGGATGACGGGAGCGTTTCGATGGAGAGACGCAGATCTGCTGAATCAGGTGGACGGCTTGCGTTGGCGTTTGAGTGTGTAGAAACCAGACATTTCACCGCAGGAGCGTTCCAACTCGATCTGCAACCGGAATTAACTAGTAAGGAGCGTTTGTCAGCAAAACCGTCTCAAATGCGAGAGCAATATTTCTGTTGGATTAGAAGAGATGTATGCACAGGTCCGCTTGTTTACAATGTAATAGGGCCATCACCTTACAGGCCAATTTAATGCCAAATTAATGTTTTACTGCCTCATTCTGGATTGCAGAACTTGGTGCTGTGCATACCTGGAAATGTAATCTATTTTGCTATGTTAATTGGAGGTTGTTCAAGTTACTGTGTACATTGGACTTTTACTGTGGTTTGAAATGCACTCATCAATGCCGATTATTTCTCACCCCGTAATATAAAAGCAGTGTTGCAGTTCCCCTTTAATCAAGAGGCTTGTTTTGCCCCCTTCAGAGGCAACAGAGCCATCTGGTGTGTGTAGGTTGGATTACAAACCATGCTGTTTGAAGCTTCTCATATGCTCTGTCTACAGTGTGCATAGCAGTATGGGGCTGCTATTGCCCTGCAATCCAATCCATTTCAGGTTTGATCTGCAGCTGGGTTTTAGTACATGACTCAATGTGAAGCCTGGAAAAGACATCCTAATATCAGCCCGGAGAGGATCAGACTGCAGTGCACTGAGTCTGACTCCAGGTACTGCACTGCAGAACCTGGACTGGACCAGAGTGCTGTGTGTGGGGAGTCTGATCTGTCTTTCTGCACTGCAGCAGCAGAGCCACGGCACGTTAAAATGAGCAGCCTTTTCCCAGAGCATGTCCACGTCCACATACGTAAATACTTCAATGTTTATGTCTCGGGTCACGTGCTGGGACGGGCTGTACTCTGTTCAAGGCCCTTGGGCAGGCAGTGGGGGAGTGGGGCTCATCACAGCTGGAGATCAGACCTGTGGCAACTTGGCCAGGACTTTTGGCAGAGAAAGAGTAGGTTGTGTAGAAAAATAGAGGCTACCATGCTGGGCCTGGAAGTTCCTCCACACACTTTGCATTTACACTGCCTTGTGCCAGCCTGCTTCTCCATTAATAACAATAGCAGGACCCACCCAATTTCTAACCATATCTTCCAAGAGCCTATCTCAGCAAGTACCAGGCACAAAGCAGGGTGCCCTGGCAGGACCCCAGTCCGTAGCAGAGCACACACAGACCCACACACCAGCACCTCTTTCTCCACAAACCAGTGACCTACCAGCATGCCTCTAGACTGCAGGAGGAAACCCAGGTGAACATGGGGAGAACATACAGACTCCACACAGACAGCACCCCAGGGCTGGAATTGACCCCAGGGCCCCAGGGCACCAAGGCAGCGATACTGACACCACGGTGCCACGGTGCCACCCCCAGCAGCCCCCTTTTCCTCTTGGTCCTTCTCGTTGGTGAGGATCTCCTGTGTGTCTGAGGTCAGGGGCCGCAGGCGGTGTGACACTAACCATTTCGGCTGCTGAATTTAAAAGACTAATATGGACACGGCTCTGACTGAAAGGCGCTATACAAGAGTAAAATGGATTGATGGGATTGATCATCCGCAGCTGGGCAGGTGGGGAGGGGAGCTCGGCGCCGGGCCCAGGAAGAGACGTGCCGAGCTCCTCCCCTCCGGAACGGCCCTGCTCCGAGCCACTTTCGCGATTCCGCGGTTGTCTCCCACAGATAGCGGATTCGGGGCGAGAGGAGAGCCGCTGCAGGGCCTGCAGATCCTCCTGACCTGTGAGTGAAGAGCCGGTTCTGTCCCACAGCAGGGAGGGGAATCTGGTCACGCCTGACTGTCCATCTGTCCACCCATCTTTCTATCTGTCTGCCCATCTGTCCACCCATCTCCCTGTCTGTCCATCTCCCTGTCTGTCCGTCTCCCTGTTCGTCCGTCTGTCCACCCATCTGTTTGTCTGTCTGTCCGCCCATCTGTCTGTCTGCCTATCTGTCTCCCTCTCTGTCCATCTGTCCGCCCATCTCCCTGTCTGTTTGTCCATCTCCCTGTCTGTCCACCCACCGGTCACCTGCCCACCTTGCTGTCTGTCCACCTGTCCACCCATCTGTCTGTCTATCTCCCTATCTGTCCACCCTCTGTTCACCATTCTGTCTGTCCACCTGCCCGTCCGTCTCTGTCTCTCAGTGCCATCACAAGAATTGACAGGAGGAATAAAATGAATCACTGCGCGGGTTTAATCGAGCGGGAGGGAGAGCCCGACCCGGTCCGGGTGAAACCCGTTCAGGAGCCGCACAGACAGGGGGAAGAGCGGCGCTGGGCGCGCCTGCAGGGGACCGTGGACGGGCGGGGGGTCACACGTACTCGGACTCCGGCGTCGCTGCTATCGACTCGCCGAATTCACAGGGGGAGCAACTGCGAGCCAGTGGCCTCGAAGCCTCCCTTGTACGAAGCAGTGCGTGACGATGATGATGCTGAAGATGGTGGGAGACCTATGGCGGCGCTGTGGTCCACAGGGTTACGGGAACGTGTCCCGCAGGTCGCTCAGAATGTCAGACTCCGTCACTGAGCTGCGGTGACAAGTGACACGTTGTGTGTGTGCGTGTTTGCGGTGTTTACATTTTTGTTTGTACACCAACCTCGGGACAGCCGGCGAGTCTCTGAAAAACAAACGCGCCTCGCTGGATTAGCGCTGCGCGGCGCCCCGAGCCCTCTCTTGTGCCTCTGGCCCCGGTCCAGCAAGCGGGCGGGTTATTTCGAGACTGCGCCGGGACCGCAGAGGGACGGAGAGAGGGAGAGAGGGGGAGACAGAGACCCGGGTCGCCCAGCGCGGGGGGAGCAAGGTCACCCTACCTACAGTCACATCGCGTTACACACAGCCGGCTACAGCGGCCGGGTACAGTTCAGCGCAGTGCGCCAAAGACTCGGAGTTGTCTCTCTCTCTACCTCACACACACACACACTCACTCGTGAAGTCTCGCTGTCTGCAGCACCGCTCCGGCTCCCAGCTCCCGGCGCTGCAACCGTGTCCCGCACGCGGATTGTGTTACACGCGGACACACAATACACCCTCCGCGTGTCTGCGGGACACACACACACACACAGGAGCGCGCGCGCGCGCGTGCGAGGTGAGAGATCCCGGGGGTCTTCGGGGGGAGGAGGAGGAGGAGGAGGAGGAGGGAGAGGGAGCCGGAGAGAAGCTCTCCCGTCGCCCGGTCGGGACCGCTCCTCGGCCGCCGTCAGGAGCCCTCACCGCGGCGGGCGCAGCAGGCACGAAAACCGACCTCTGGCACGGAAAGAGACGCCCTGGAGCGGCGGTTACCTGATCGCGCCCGGACAGGTACAGTATGTGTCCTGCGCAGCTTGTGCAGCGTGTTTCAAAGTCACGCGTACCTCGCTCTCTTCAAACCGGGACCGACTGACCGAGTTACAGCTGTGCAGGACGCCCGGCCGGATACATGATTTATGAGCGGCCATGAATAATAGATGAGGACAGGCGGGAGATTAAGAGCCGGGAACGCAAGACGCGGCTCGTCGGGGTCCGAAGTCCGGAGTCGACTGACCTGGTTTTGAAGCCGAGCTCCCGTGCGGAAATTCTCCCAGCGAGGAAAAAGACGGCGACAAAGAAGTATTATAATATCAGGAGCCCGTGCGCAGCCGGAGTTATATTCGCTATGATGTAGCGGTTTTAAACACTGAACCACGAGGTTCGTTTCCACAGAAATAAGAGCTTTCATTCCCTCCCCCCCGAAGGCATTTCGTCCCGGACTCCACAAGACCTTCACACGCTCACGTCAGCGTGTTACAAGATCGCCTTTGCGGCAGATGCTCAGCGACCCGGGACCCGCGGGGGGAAGAGACGGGAGACACAGGTGGCGAAGGACGGAGCGGATATGAACCTGCTCTCCGCTCGCAGCTCCTCTGCAGGCGCTCGCTGACCCTTCGGACTGGCGGACCCCGGCAGACACGGCCCGATCCCGGCGGCCCCTGCTTTTGCACCAGAAGCCAGTAAACATCTCCACGGCTTTCCGACTAAGCGCTTTTGGGCCAGGTCAAATTCCACGCCGGGCTTCGGAAGACAAGGTTTTCCGGCTGCAGAAATCACGTCACGGTCACGGTCACGGTCACGGTGCAGTGATCGGGGGACACAGGGGAGCCCCCCCGGACCTCTACTGCTGAAGATATCAACGCTCAGGTAACCCCTCTGTCTGCACACCCAGCGTCCGAGTGTGGGGGGGGCTTGCTGAGTCTGCAACTTCCTCCTTGTCTGGATCAGGGTGGGGGGGGCTGAAAAGCCGGATTCCCAGGTTCGAATCCACGTCGGGCTGTGCCCCCACGCGACGGGCCGCAGGCTCTGGTGTTGCCACCTGGGGGAACAGCCCGAAGTCTGAGGAGGAGCCTCAGACCTGCTGTCCGGAGCCAGCGGGCAGGTGCTTCCGGTCGAGCTGAGAGGAGGAAGAGGAGGAAGAGTCTCGCCCCCGAACGCGAACCCGCCGAGCAGAGCGCCGGCCATGGCGTTCCGGCGGAGGCCCCGGCAGCTCTTCCGGCACACGGACGTGCCGGCCCGGGTCACCGAGAGCTTCATCCTGTCGGGCTACCGCTTCCCGGACTGCAGCTTCTCCGAGTGCCTGGCGTCCGCCTTCCGGCCCACCAACGAGACGGGCAACTTCTGGACCCACTTCCTGGCCCTGTTCGTCTTCGCCTTCCACTGCCTGGAGCCGGCCGGCGGCGGGCAGGCCCGGGCCCTGAGCGACCCCTTCTTCTACCCCTTCTGGACGTACGCGCTGGGCGCGGCGGGGCTGCTGGCGGTCAGCAGCCTGGCGCACCTCTTCAACGCCATGTCCCTGCAGGTGCGCGAGATCTGCTTCTTCGTGGACTACGGCACCATCAGCGCCTACACCGTGGGCTCCTCGCTGGCCTACTTCTACTACATCCACCCCCGGGCCGGCCTCGCCCCCGCCGGCGCCCGCCGGGGCAACGCCTCCCAGGCCTGGCCGCCCGCCGCCGGCCCCTCCCCCCCCCGCCTCGCCCGCGGCTTCTTCGACACCTTCTACATCCCCAGCACCTGCCTGGTGGCGCTCATCTGCACGCTGGCCTGCTGCAGCTCGCGCCAGCGCTGGCGCCGGCACCGCTACGTCATCCGCACCCTGGTCTTCCTGCTGCCCTTCGCCGTGGCCTCCGCCCCCATCTTCTACCGCCTCTACGCCGGCCCCCCCGGCGGCGGCGGCGGCGGCACCCTGGCCCCCTTCTTCTACCGCCACTGCTTCTGGCTGGTCATGTCGGCCCTGATCAACGTCAGCAAGATCCCCGAGCGCCTGTCGCCGGGCCACTTCGACATCTGGGGCCACAGCCACCAGTGGTTCCACTGCTTCACCTTCCTCAGCATCCTGGACGAGCTGCGCATGATCAAGGCCGAGATGCGGGAGCTCTCCGGCGCCGCCCTGCTGGCCGGCGCGGCCGCCGGGCCCACGCTGCTCTCCACCTACGGCGTGATGCTCGGGCTGCAGGGCTGCATCGCCGGGATCATCTCCTGGTTCTCCCTGCGGGCCCGCGAGGACCCCCGCCCCCCGCAGGCCCGGCCCAAGGCGGATTGAGCCCTCGCTGGGGGGGCTCGGTTTCGGGGCGGAGGACGCCGGGGGTAGGTGGAGGGGACGTGGAGGCCGATAAGACTCCTGTTTGCACATCCTGTAATCCGCTGCAGGTTCGAGTGTAAGGTGGTTTGAGGACATCCTTATTGTGCCTCCTCAGTAAAGCAGCCCGCATGCCTGGAAATGGGTGTGAGACAGGAGTCATATCTCCGTAAGGGTGTGATTTATTTTAAATGACGGTGATAGGTAGATACATGTCTATTTAGGCTAACATTGATTTCATTTTTTATCATATGTTTCTCTCAAGTTTTAAGAACTTTTCTTTCTCAAGAACAGTACATAGAGAGGGCCGGGCAACCCTCTCTGTTACTTCCTGCGTAGACAGCAATAACAATGAACCGCAACAACGTCGTTTGGCTGATGCTTGTATCTGGTCTGGCCGGGGAGGGTGACCTCTGACCTCTGACCCATGACCCCAGCAGCTGCTACACAGTCGCTGACAGCAGGACCTCTTGGGACAGAGCGCCAGGGGGTTCAGCGGCTGGCTCAGGGAGTGGGGAGATGGGCTCAAACCAGGAGCCACCTGATTAACGCGGTCTCCTCTAACAAGAGTTCACAGCAGTGCCAGCAGCGAACTGGCGTGTTGTGTCACTCTGAGCGGCTCTGCGGGTTCTATTCCCAGTCAGGTGTCTGGAAAGGTGCAACACAGGACTTTCTGGACCCTGAAGTCCTGGGACCCTGTTTTTGTTTTGTTCCAACGGAGCTCTCCTTTGACGTAAACCGGGCAGTTTGCAAAATTGTTTTCACGTGCTGCATGTCTGGAGGCTTCACCCCCAGCCCAAACAAGGCATGAACACGCGAATACCTGTCCAAATTCCACACTCGCGCCCAGGCAGTGTGGGCGTGGGGCACAAGACCGAGCATGAAACCGAGCACGCCCCAACACGTCACAGGCCTCCGGAGCAGCTTTTCTCTTTGCGCTGGGGTAGTTTAGGCCTCATGAATGCACCCGAAGAGCCGGCAGATGCTCTTTCATCTGTGTCCCTAAGAATATCAAGGTGATTCAGAGCAGATTTCTCCACTGTTGGTGGGGAGAGCACGTTTCAGTCAGTTGTGATTGCCTTTTGCTGGGATGAACTTAGTAGAGCTGTCTTGGCTCTGTGGCTCAGGATCTGCACCTGTGGCTGGAAGGTTGCTGGTTCGTATCCCAAGGCCGGCAGAGGAATCCTACTCCGTTGGGCCCCTGAGCAAGGCCCTTAACCCCAGCTACTCCAGGGGGGCTGTATAAATGGCTGACAATGCGCGCTGACCCCAAGCTTCTCTCCCTGTCTGTGTGTCTCATGGAGAGCAAGCTGGGGTATGCGAAAAGACAAATTTCTAATACAAGAAATTGTATATGGCCAATAAAGTGATCTTAATCTTGTGTACAAGAACAGATAAATGAAGTATTTATGCTGCTTAGTAAATCTGTAACAAAACCTTATAAGGTTCATGGGGCCAGCTGCCACTGTATAGCACATATAATCGAGATTAGGACTATTACATTGACCTCCATCGGTATTTGTCAAAGATCTCTGAAGTGGATCCCCTCCAGGGTGCAGACCTCCATTATGGTTTAAAAAAACTTGCTGCTGTCTATGTATATTTATACATATATAAATGGATTTGTAAATATACATGCTGTATATGTGTATTTATATACTGTATGTTAGGCAGTGTTGTTTGCTGTGACAGGGAGGGTCTGGATGCACTGAAGTCCCCCCAGTTCTTTGCATGTAATGGTACAGTCCATTGTTTCTTGAGCAGCACAGTGCAAGTCAGCACCAATAAGGTTGCAGTGGAGGGGGGGGTCCTAAAGACACGCAACTCAATAATGCAATACTCTTATGCCATCTGCTGTGTTTATGACCCCCCCCCCCCCACCACCACCACCACCAGATGAAAAAAAGTGATTGTAGACACTTACAAGTCCATAAATCTGTGAGGGGAAAACACCAGGCACAGAGTGGAGGAGACTCAAACCCTCCAGCCTTATCGGCCTATAACATGCCTTTCAAGACGTACATTGCATTTATCTCTTATATGGGAGATGGGGGTTGGGGATAGGAAGCTGGCAAAAGCCATTGCTTCTGCTTTTTTCTAATGGTGGGGATCCTTCTCCTGTGCACTAGGCACATCATAGCACTGTCAGATGTTTAAATATAGATGTATGAATATTAATACAAAAAACCAAGAGAAAAAATGAAAGAATGTGAATTAACATGCTCAGGGGGATTACAGAGGTGCTTAGCTGCTCCGCTGGAGTGGAAATTTTAATTAAATGTGTATTGTGGCCAGGATTAAAGGTCTTGTGGCCACACAGTGACACTGTACCTCATGCCACAGTTTACTGTAAGTCTCCACGTCTCTGTCTTGAACCTGTGGTCTTCTCATGACTGGTGTGTTTTCTGGAGCACTGCTGCAAACTGCCTGTAAATACTCTGACCACCTCAGGTCCTCAATTAACAGTATGGTTCTCTTGCTCTCTTTCCAATTAAGGCTTTCTCCATTACATTCATTGATCTAATTAGTGGATACACATTTTGTCTTTTTAGGCTCTTTTCAAAGGTGATTTATTGGCTCAGCATACAGAAACTACAAATTGTGCATGTACTGTAGCTCGTCAATACCCCTGTCTAGACAATGTGGGGAAGTGATTTCTAAAAGGGGAAAAAATGAAGTTTCTACAGGTTTTCCAAGAATAGGGTGGTTGCTCCGACTACAACTACTCCTACTCTTTCATACATAAACTGGACATTTGTAAACCTGACTCTCAATTTCTTAATTAAACCAGTTACTGGTATAGCCTAGATTATTGATGCTACTGACTAAAGACTGTCTTATCCCAAAGTCCCTGGGCTCTGCAGGGCCGATGGTGGAGAAATCGGTCCTGTATACAATGTACAGGTCGTGTATAAGGTTAGCCATCCTTGTCAAACAGCTGGACGATGAATTAGAGGAATTATCTACCACAGTGAGTCACATTGTCCTGTAAGCCTGGATCTGGGCAAAGCAGGAACTAATCCAGCCCCTGTGACACAGGCACCAGACTTTGCTGCAAAAAATGCTCTTCTGACTTATTTTTTTGTTCCGTTTGAAAAATGTTGACATGCGTATTTCTGTAAGCACCTTTGGTGTCATTTTGTTTTGGGCGTAGAGCCAATTCATATATTGAAATAAAAGCAGACGAGAAACCTGACTACCTTCGAATGTGAGAAGAGGAACTGCCTTGCTTTGTTTCGGTTTCTGTGCTTTGTTAGCTGCGTGTCTGGCCTAGGCTGAGGACACTCCTGCCTTCTGATCCTGATGGCTAAGTTTTCACATAACTGGAGCTACACTGGGTGGAGGGAGGGTGAGGGTGTAGGGAACTGGGCTTCAGTGCAATGTGCGACACCAATTTGCTTCCCCTATCCACTTCCTCCCTGCTTTGTTCTGAGCGTGTGTGCTTGTTGGGGGGGGTAATCTGCTCTATATAGCTGACCTCCAGCTTCTCTTATTTTCCCTTTGAACGAATGGCCCTGGTTTCCGGGAGGCGGGGGTTGGGTGAGAGTGAGAGAGGGGGCGGTCAGCTGACAGAAGGCTCGACAGACGGCTATTGTGTCTTTAAATCATAGCTTTAAATCGGCGGGGTCTTCTCTGATCGCTCCTTCCGCAATGCAAAGAGCAGGAGCAGCTGGCAGCTTGGAGATTAGATCACCGCCTGCACCCCCCCGTCCTCTCCCCCGCCAGGCAGTGGGCGTTAATAATGCAATCGACTGCAGCCGCAGAAAACCCCATCCATGCAGCGAGAGGGAGAGAGAGACTGTGGAAAACGCAAGCAGATGATCAATCGATTTCTGTGTGTTTCTCCAGCAAAGAAGGGCAGGACGAGCCCCTGGGATTAATCGGCTGCAGGAAAAAAGCAGAGTCTCGCCTCATTTGTAAGCGTCATGACGGGCTTATGGACTGCACGCACACATGCCCACCTACACAGATTGATGTGGTCTAGGCGACTCCTTCGTGTACAGACACAGAAAGCGAAGTGTGAAGTTAAAAATAAACTGAAATACTGAGATTCTTTGTGCTTCATCAATATGATTTGTACAAGAGTCCTGCAACACTATAGAATGATGGTGTTGATCAGAATGGGGCATCAGATAAAGACAGTGTGTGAGCTGGATCAGAGCTCTGTGCAGTGGGGAATAAGATAAAGACACTGTAGGACCTGGATCAGAGTGCTGTGCAGTGGGCGATATGATAAAGACAGTGTAGGAGCTGGATCAGAGCTCTGTGCAGTAGGGAATCAGAAAAAGACAGTGTGCAAGCTGGATCAGAGCACTGTGCAGTGGGGAATAAGATAAACACAGTGTGCAAGCTGAATCAGAGCGCTGTGCAGTGGGGAATCAGATAAAAACACTGTAGGACCTGGATCAGAGTGCTGTGCAGTGGGCGATATGATAAAGACAGTGTAGGAGCTGGATCAGAGCTCTGTGCAGTGGGGAATCAGAAAAAGACAGTGTGCAAGCTGGATCAGAGCGCTGTGCAGTGGGGAATCAGATAAAGACAGTGTGCAAGCTGAATCAGAGCGCTGTGCAGTGGGGAATCAGATAAAAACACTGTTCCAGCTGGATCAGAGCGCTGTGCAGTGGCTTCCTGATCTTCGGGCCCTGCAGGTGCTGGTAACTGGGGCAGACTATTTCAGTACACACGGCTTGTGATCTGACAGCTGTGGCTGACAGAGAGGTCAGGGAAAGACCACATGTGACCTTATTATCATGTTGCTTTGCCCTGACTGCTGTATTGATGGGTATTGATGGGTTTAATTGCCACAGGCAGTTGAGCAACTAGCATTATTGCTGTGCCTCTGGTTCATTCTGTTCTTCATTGCCTCCCACCTTCTCTCTCATTTTCTCTCTTTGTCCTTCAATTCCTGTCTCTGTCCCTCTCCTTTTCTTTCTGTGTGTGAGTCCATGTGCACTGTATGTTTACATACTGAGATGCAGAGAGACACACTGACCCACTGAGACTGACACTGAGACACAGTGACCCACTGAGACACACTGACCCACTGA